GTCTACAATATACTTAAAAAATTGTTCTGGTAATTTGTATTTATATTTTTTGGCTGGGAAAAGTATTATTTTACATTCTATAGAAATGCTTTTGCTTTTATCCATTCAGTCACATTTTATCACATAGAACTGAGAATTGAAGCAGGAAATGTAGGTCATCTGAACCTTGTGAGAAATGCGCCTTGGGCATTGAGAGCTATGAACGTTGTCTTTCCCGTAGAGTCACTGGTTGATTATGACTGTTTTTAAAACTATAACATAGGTGAACTGACAGTTACTTCTGAAGTTAACATTGCACTTGTGTGTACTGCATTTACTATTGTCAGGTGCTAGGGTAATACAATTTATTTTAAACTTCTTGAATATTCAGAATTTTGTTGTACTAAGAATGTACTTACATCTCCATCTCATGTTCACAAGCATAGTAAGGGTTATGGGTAGCCCATAGTAGACTCTGCACTATTATAAGAGAAAAGTTAAAGTAAAATGAAAAAAACACTATTTATGTGGTGGCAAAGTGTCTGGATGAAGCAGCTCTTTTTCCCCCCCATACCTGTGTTTTTGCTTGGTGGTTCAGCTTAAATGAGTCATTAACAATTTCACCTTCCAAAACTCATGTTGAAGCTGAATAATATTGTTCAAATCTGAATCAATACTGGAATACCGAATTTTGGATAACACCATTTAGTATTTTTTTCTTTTTACCATGTTATTTTATCCATATTTATTACTTGAATTTATGGGTGTACTTACTGTTCCTCTAGATTACTGTTTATTACTGTAAACTCACTCTCTGAAGATATAAACCTCCACTTATTTTCATGTATTCAGCACAGAACCATGTTTAAAGACTTGCATTTCTTTAAATTGAGTCATTTTTACCAGAAATAATATATTAAGTACCTTCTTTTCTTACTCTTAAGTAATAAAAATTCTTTGATGCTACACTTTCACATTTTTTGCAGTAATTATTTTTGCTTTTTATTGTTATGTTTCATTGATATTTAATATCTAGAAGCATCATATAGCAATTCATGACTTAGTCCTAGGCCTTTCTTGATAAAACCAAGGAAGGGATTGTGGTAGTGATAAAGTATGTCCTTTAAATCTATAAAGCAAATGGAAGTGAAATTGAAAGTTGTGATTGGAACACTGTTCACTGATTGGTTTTCCAGGTACCTTAGAAATGTAATTAATTTCCCAAAACACCTAACACAAATGGAGTGATAATTCGTTAATCATGTTAAATATTTTGATCTCTCATATGCCAATCCCCCAAAGAGCTGATTCAAATCCAATCAAGTTCATTTCTTTTGTTGCCGTTCTTTTTCTTGAATTACAAGTGCCCCTATACCTATCAAGTAAAGTGAGACATTTGGTATGTTTCAGAGGCTGCTGAAAATGTGACGAATCAATTACTCTTTCCTGTCCTTTTTTTTTTTTTTTTTTGTGTGTGTGTGTGAAATATTAAAATATATTCAAATTATCTTAAGATTTGCAATAAGTGTGTAGAACTCACAGCACAGTAAGTAGCTATTTTTATTCATGGAGTGATTATGTGACTGTATTGTGATAGCTGCATGAACTTGCCTCTCAACTGATATATAGTGAGTTAATAAATAGGTTATTGTTTGAAGTTTCTGAGTCAATAAAGTCAAATTTTGTCAGAATAGAATATTTTTTCCTTCTTTTTTCTCAGTGTGTTAATGAGGTGGGTTTTTTTGGGTTTTTTTTTAATTGTGACCTTTATCCAAACAGTAATTTTGGGTGGTCAACTAGAAGGGAATCTAGGAACTCGCTGGCTCTAACCTTTTCATTCAGGACTCAAGATGCATGCTCTTCTGCTCTTCTGTAGCCCTGGTGCGTCTGGGCTTTGTGCCTTTCTGAGTGTATAGAGAGGTTTTGTGTTGCCATAGTTCCTGCTCTTGAAATAGATAGGCTGGAAGATGTATCTAGGGAAGAGTAAAAATGGAAATGTTTCTATGCCCACCAGTGCTGGTTGATGGTTGTTTTGGCTTGTGGTTTTTGTTTGTTTGTTTGTTTTTCTTAATGCCTATAAGAGAAGAGGGTGATTTTCTTCGGGTTCTGTGTCTAAGCTTTTATTTTACCTGAAAGGTACACTTTTTAACTGTTGTGAGTTACAGGAAAAAGATTTGAGAAGAATGTTTTTATATTCCCATTTTTTCAAATTCTAAAGAGTACTTCAAGGAGTAGTGCTGAACATTTTTCTTTTGAGGCTAATTTAATTTGAGGCTAAATGTAATTTGAACAGCTTTAAATAATACATATTATATTTAGATCCCTGCATTTTCAAAGGTAGACAACAGCATTATTATTCTGGTACCTTACTGTAGGATCTGATTTGTTAAAGGGTTTGACTGATGGTGACTCTGGGATAGAATTTGAACTCTACAGTCATTGGGAGTTTTACATGACCAGGACTTCAGAGACAGGCCATCCCCTGAAGTGCATAAATATAAGTTTAAATGTTCATGTTGAATTACCTAATATCTTCATAATATGCTTGGGAACATGGTACCATCTGAAGAGATTATTGTTACTAAACAAAATATACGTGGTAATTTCAAAACACTCGATATTTCAAATCTCTCTTGGTTCTCTGGATGTCACGTATATCCACATCAAGCACAGTTACCTCACTTTCTTATTTTACTGATGGAGTAGCAAGCATGTCTATCACTTAGATGTTCTTTATTCCAAACTGTAATTGAGATGGGGTTGGGGGGAGAGCTAATGAGGTTAAAATTCATGTAGCCAGGCCAGTGAGGCATGTTTTTGGTTTCCTTAATTTAGTTAATAATCTACTGAATTAAATCATATATAATCTGTCTGCATAAGGAATTTTGTTTTAGTAGCGATTTCAGGAATAAATCCTTGATAGTGTCTGAATACCCCAGATAGCCTGTGAGATAAGGAACAATTCATTTCCCCTTCCACCATTGTAAATGCTGTAGAATTATTATAGATTGGATTTGTACATCTATCTTATTTATTTTTTTTTTTTTTTTACAAATTGACCAGGGAAATAACACTAGCAACTGATTTTGAATTAAAATTTTCCATACAGTTTAACTAGTCTTTAGTTTTAGTCTTTAGCACGATAGCAACTCTATAGATTAATATAATTTAATTCCTGTTTTAAGAACAATAATTCCTCCAGTTTTTTCTACTTACTGAAAAGTTCTTTGTTTCAAGTTACTGTAAGAATATTGCTAATTTATTTTCCTTGAATCCACATTTATGTGTAAAATCACAGTGGCACCAGTGTTTATTTGTTTTGTAAGGTAGGTTTGATACATAAATAAAATTAATATTTAACTCAATTTCCTGTTTTTTCATAAATTGTATATTAAAAATGCTCAATATTTTGAATCTAAGGAATATTAAATTTTATTGCATGGGATAAATCAACAGATTATTAAATTTGGAAGGAAAGACATCTCATATTACAAAGCAAAAGAATGATTTCACTTAAGTTACTTTAGCAAATAATTGGTTTAGTTGGTCTTTTTTTTCAGTTGCTTTTTATAAATGAAAAACTCCCTGGGAATATTGTGAAACAGACTGAGACTTGGAGTCTTGAGTTCTGTTCACATTTTGTCTGATTTGACTTGTCATTTTGAGCAAGACATTTAACTCCTTGGTATCTGTTTACCAGTCCTTAAAGACGAGAATAAAACTTCTGTATTTAGCGGAACTCACCAAATGGTGGTTGTCTGTACACACCTCAGGTGTTAGTTGTTAAACCTTTAGAAAGTATGTGCTAAAGAATGCATGTGATTTTCATTCTAATACCATTTCTAAAATAACTCCCAGACAGAAGTAGGTTGGAAAGAGCAACTTACAGTTTGAAGGCAATTTGGTAGCAATTTTCTTGGAAATACAATACTCCAGGAATGTAGTTCAGTATTAAAGTAGGAACCACTCTGCTTTGTCAGCAATTTAATGATGAAAATTATGTGGACATTTAAAATGAGCAGAGGACATGGGTTTGGAAACTAATTCAGTATTGAAAGTATGTGTTGCTCAGTTTGTTCTTGTGGAGCACCAGGTTATTCTTAGAGGAGAGCAGAGAGGAAAAAAAGCTGCAGATTAAGCAGGAATTTGAGTTCTTTGTCTGCTATTGATATCCTCCTTGAATATTACATAAAACTGATTTAAATAATTGAATACTTTTTAAGCTTAGAGGCACACTGGGAATGAAAATGAAGTTAAGTAACATAATGTTTTGATTAAAGCATTTCAGGTAGTATCAACCCTGAACTTAAGCAGTGTGTGTGTATATATATATATACATGTATATATATATATATGATATTATTAAGAAGTAATTTTAAAATGTTTCTCCAGTTTTGTAATACCTTTTCCATATATCCTGATGCTGTGAGACTTGGTTATAATTATTAATAATACAATTATGAATGATAACTGATACATTAAGGTGAGAAGGGCTTTCTTCTTACTACAGGGAATAAACTGTTCCTACTGAAACACCACCAGCCTCAGTAAATTTATGGTTGTCCCTGTGCTTTTTGGGAATCCTGAGCATGGACCAAGTCAGTTCTTGAATGATTATACCCTATATTCATCAGAACTGTGAAGAGTTTTATTTCTGTGGACATCAGATTACAGTGGATAGGGTTTAGATAAGATGATGAAATATTATGTAACTTCTTCTTTTCTAATCTATTTCTTTCAAAGTCTAGTACACTGTGCAATATAGTATATGCTACAAGGAAGTTCAGTGTGCTTTAAAACTGAGTGTTAAGTCTGGTGTTTGATTCTGCTCAATGCTGTAGCGTAATTCTGTTCCCACTACTTTGTTTCTTCCAGGACATGAGATACTGCTCCTATGATGGCAGAGATCTGTGTGAAAGATTTTGTTGAACACTACATGACTCTCAAATGCTAAAAGCTGAAGGCACTAGCTGGTAGCTCAGTGTGGAGCAAAAATTTTATTTTAAACTTCAAAAATAATTATGTCAAAGAAAAGTCGTGCCAAAGGAGAGAAGTCCGATATGGAGAATGAAGCACTGCAAGCTGCTAATGAGGAGCTACGGACTAAACTAACCAACATCCAGATAGAATTTCAGCAAGAAAAAAGCAAGGTATTTATCTGTCTACATTTTGTGATAATTTTTAACAGTTACAAACAGCTGTTTTCTAACAGTTTCTATTAGAAGTCAGCAGAGCTTGAATCTCAAACTAATTCACTACTGAAATGCATTAGACTTAAAAGAAAATCATGTGACAAAGAAGTGAAATCAGAAAAACCACTGATGAACTGCTCTAGATGTACCTGCTTTGGCAGGGGGGTCGGGTTAGATGGTCTCCAGAGGTCTCTTCCAACCCCTATGATTCTGTGATTCTGTGTGATTCTGTGAAGTTGGTGCCAACTATTTTAAATAATGTGCAAAAGCAAATAACCCCAAGCATCCAGTCACTGAAATTTGCAGTCACAGCAATATAAATGGCACTGGCTTAGTGTGACTTAAAGGCAACAAGGGAGTTTTGTATTTGATCTTAGCACTGAAAACTGTATGTTGCAAAAATAAGTGTTTTCAAAGTCGATCAGCAGCACCATATTCAAAGCATGTAACTTTAAATGCCTGTGGAGAATGTAAATGAACTGGAAATCATCTGTGTGGGAGTCCTGATTTGATTTACTGAGTTAGGTGTGCTATTGCTCTGTTCAATGATTCAACTGATTGAAACAGGTCCATCAATATTTGTCTGTCTAGCACGTGTTCAACAGGTATTTGAGTAATCAAGAGAACACCTAGGAGAAACTGATAAATCATTTAATACCTATATATTTATAAAGATTAGCATTTACTTTTTTATATCTCTGTAACAGTTTAAAATATGAGCAAGCCAATAAAGTTATTTCTATTATATTAGTTTATTAATCTCAATTAGTGCATTTGACTTCGCACAAGACAGACCTGGAGATGAATCCATGTGGAGATGGATTTATCTGTGTTTGTTAGGTGATACTGTAGTTGCAAGAGTCTTAGCAGTGGAACAAGTATGCACTGAAAAACAGTGTTCACTTTATATAGCATAGCTTTGTTCTAGCCTTGTTTCTTTATATTGGTGTAAAATTTGGAACACCTGAATAATAATATTCCTGTGTGTTCTAGTTTCTTTAACAACATTGTGTGATACTCAGCTTTGAATGGTCTTATTGTTTTTCTTTTTTTTTTTCTTCTTTTTAAATTAAAAAGCAGACAAGCTCCACCCCCCCCAATATAATCTGCAAAATTTATTTCTTACAGCAGAAAAAGAAACAATAAAGCCTTAGTTCTTTAACTGTTTATAGGTTCAGTATGTATCAGCCAACTAAATTTGTATTGCCTTGGAGAGGTTTCTTCTTTGCAGACTAAAGCAAGAAGTCATATTTCATAAGGATTAGCAGTATTGATGAGTGAACAGGAAAGTGGGATTTTTTTGCTATTAGCTTCCTCATCCAAGTTTTCCCACTCTTGTTTGATACAATGAGAATAAATTACAGAACAAGAGTAGCACAAACTACTTCTGCTTCTTAAAACCACACACCATGAAATTTACTAGTGGCTGATACTCTCTAAAATTTACCAGCTGATAAATTGTATTATTTCACTGTCATTTTTAGTATCTTAGTGCTTCTGTTTGGGAAGAGACTTGTGAGCTGATGATGCATTACATATTACATCAGTAAATTTTCCATTTTAGTTATTTTGTCTTATTTCTTATTTTGTTCTCTATCACTTTTTATTTAGACATACAGATGTTAATTTTGTCATCAACATTTAATTGCATTTAAAAAATACATAATTGTAAAGTTATCTTATGCCTTGGACAGAAGAAGGAATTAATTTTGACTGTCTAAATTACTCAGATTCTAAAAAAAAAATCTATGAAAAGATTACACCAACCCTAAGAAGAGTTTAGCCCTGATATGCTTCCAGGTTTGATGTTTTACCTGTAATAGTGTCAAGTTTAACTCAATTAAGAATAAAGTGTAGCTACAAGACCATGACAGCTGTAGGAACATTTTCTATAACTAGTCTGCTTATTTACCTGTATTCAGTCTGGTAAGAGTTCAGTTTGGTTACCTGTTTATCTTTCTATAGTTTCAAAATTTCATATTTTTCTGGAGTATTGAGCTTGTTATAGGAGACACATCTGTGTATTGTGCACGTACATGTACAGAGAAATGAATGGCCTCACCTATGTAATGTGTAGGTGAATATGAAAGAGGAAATTACAGTGCTCTAAACTCCTACTAAATAGTGCAGTCAGTAGTAAATTCTGCAGCATGCTGGAGTGCATTTCTGGGAGGATGAGCGGGAAGAAGACTTCAGCATCTTTCTCACATCTTTACTGTGGTGTTTACTCTAAATCATTTAACTGGAATTGAGCTGTGTAGTTTATCTCCCACCGTGAGGGCAACAGCCTGCTCTCTGTCTGTGCAGTAGGATACCTTGACTGACAAGATGAGTAAATTAAAGCCATGGAGATTTTTCCTCTTGAGACTGTAGCTTAAAAATGAGTAACAAAACCAACAGAAATTACAGCTTAGTGTCAGAAAAGTAAAAACTGTGCATAGAGAATTCTAAATAAATTAGATGGTTTTATTCACATAGAGGTAGGAGGGAATGTATTGAAGCTGCTAGAGAGACAGATCTGTGGCCTGTGGGATATAAACTGTCTGTATTTGGAAAGGTAACAAACTCTCATGGGACCAATTCATTTAATTTAATTCTCCTAAACTATTTTGTCCCTCACACATATGCCTATATTAATGATTTACCTGAGGAAGAACCTTCTAATTGATGAGAGACACTACAAACGGAAATTAGTCTCAACATACTTCTGCCTGTAAAATACTGGTTTCTTTGAAATAAAATTTTACCCAAGAGACATCCAAAACTTCGTGCATATCTTCCCAGTTGATTTTGTTTCATTCTTTGTTGAGGCATTTAAAGAAATTTCTCCTGTAAAATTGTTCCACTCTATGTTTATCCAAAATGGATCTGTTTGCAGTTCTTTGAATATGCATCATTGTGGATCTTACTGTTGGTGTTTTTGGCCTCTGGCATGTAAGCAGCTGGATTCATTTATGCTGCCTTAAGGGTGAGACAAAAGTTGTGGACCTGTCTTAGTTCCCTTTTACTGCCTTTTGTTTTGGAAACTCTTGTTTGACATGTTTGGGCAGCCCGTTGGCATGTAGCGTGTCCTCCTGGGATTGCAGGTTCACTGCCGTCTGCGGAGAACCTGCAGAAGGAAATGCATGAACTGAACACGGGCTCACATACTGTCCTCTCTCTGCTAGTGGAAACGTTTGGTTGGAAGACTTCCAAAATTTGGGTATCAAGTAACAAAGAGTTAACTGAAGCACAAAAATTGTACTTATTTTAACATGAACAGAGGCAGGACTCTAACTGAACCTGAAAGTCCAGTGCAGTAAGCACAAGGAGCTGTAGTGAATGACCATGGTCTTGGCAGGCAGGGTCAAATTTGAATCAGCTCAAGGATTTGATGAATGCCTGTGCTGAGATCCATGAATATTTAGGAACAAGTATTACAAAGTGCCTGTTCCTACTGAGATGGTTAGCAAACATCAGAAGATACTCGTCCAATACTTTGAGTAATATTTTGTTCCTGATAGCAAGGTGTTAGTGTTCGCTGTCACTATTGCTTCATCTTCACTGCTTCCTGCTACTGCTTTTAAATATCCATATTCTGCTTGTGACTGTACATTTATAGAAATGAGATCACAACACATGTAGAAGTTAGGATAAATGAGATGTTTCAACTCAGTTGCCACTGTATCACCTCACAATTTTAGAGATTGTTTTTGTAAGTCCTTAAGCTTTTCCCAGATTTCTTTGGGTTTTTTGAGCTTTGATACTAGATGTTGAATCTGTGTGTAACAGTGATTCCTTGTAAGTTGAAAAAATTCTATTTTCAATATGCGAAATTAAAAAAAAAAAAAAAAGGGAGAGAGATAGCATGTCATACCGTCAAAAAAGCTTTATTTACCAGGAATTTTAAAAATCATATGGAAAAGACTTATGGCCAGTATGTATGGAAGAACACTAAATATAGCTGTTGATTTGAGAATCCAGACATACTGAGAAAAAAAAAATTATAAATATATATAAATAAATGAATGTTATTCCTGTTTGCTGTGTATGGAATAAGAAAGGAGCCAGTTAACTTAGTGAACTATAAGGGATGTACTGAATAGCAAGGAACCACTAAGTTATTGTAATTGGGAATGAAATATGACAATGTTTTTGGAGCAGGGAAGTGGATGAGGTATTGAAAAAACCATGTATAGTGACTCTGCCACTACCAGCTGGGATTAAAAGGAAGCACATCCCTTTGGGTAGGTTGCTGCCCGACAGCAGTTGAAGGGCATTTGAATTCAGCTGTTCTCTACACTTGATATATAAGTGTAAATTCTCAATATTTAACAAAATCACTAAAATGAGAGAAAACTTCAAACATTGGACAGTAATTAACAAAGTTATTAAGAATAAATGTGGCAGTGTTCAGTCAGAATTCAAAATTATTAAATGGGTGAATGCGCTAGACATGGTAGTGCAATTTCTAACCCAGATAAACCAGATTCTGGAGAGGAATGAGACATCAATAGACAGATATTAATCAATAATTATCATTAATTTAGAAGAATCAACAAGGAAGTATGATAATTAAATCTAGATCATAACAGGATGGAAGAAGTTGACAGAAAACACAGTGCAAGAGACCCTAAAAAAGTCTGAGGTTACAGTGTGAACTACAGGGAAATTCTACTCATTATTATAATAGGGCCCTTAAAATTAATGTATCTTATAAAATTATATATCTAAACTGTTTAAATGGAATAAAAGGACAATCACTGGAGTCTTCAGAAGTTTCTAGGGGATCCAAATATAGCACAGGGAAAAGAAATGTTTCATATATTCAGGTATGAACAGAAACACTTTTTCTGTGATCCTTTGATATTGCCACATAATGTTGAAAGTTTAGATTAGAAGATTATCAGAAGTGGAAATGCTTGAGGCAAGAAAGATTGCAGTAGATGCGGTGCCTTGTTTTTTTTTATTTATTCTTTATAAAGAGTTTTTTAATTTATTTGTTACTGGAAATGGGCATGTGAGAAGAGGATATTTATGAAAGTGAACAGCATAAAGAGTGAACCCAGGAGGTTTTTTGCTATGGAGAAGGAACAATGGGTAAGATCATAGGTAAAAGAAGCAAGCAGTAGAGGCAGATGGACTGGGAAAATGGTGACTGAGTGTACTGATTTTCACTGGGACAGAGTTAAATTTCTTCACAGTAGCTTGTGTGGGGCTGTGTTGTGAATTTGTGCTGAAAATAGTGTTGATAACACACTGATGTTTTAGTTACTGGTGAGCAGTGCTTACACAGTGTGAAGGCCTTTTCTGCTCCTTACACTGCCCCACCAGGGAAGAGGCTGGGGGTGCATGAGAAATTGGGGAGGGGACACAGCTGGGACAGCTGACCCCAACTGACCAAAGGATATTCCACACCATATGGTGTCATGCTCAGCAATGAAACTAGCAGGGAGGTTGAGGGGCAGAGTGCAGGGAGCTGATTGGGAACTGGCTGGGCATTGGTGGGTTAGTAGTGAACAATTGTTTTCATTTGCATCACTTGTCTTTCTTTGGTTTTATTTTCATAAAATCATAGAATCATTTAGGTTGGAAGACACCTTTAATATCAGCAAGCCAAATCAATGATCTTTCTCTTATTTTTTTTCCTCATTTCCTTACAATTTTTTAAAATTATTATTATTTCTTTTCAATGATTTAACTGTTTTTATCTCAACCCAGGAGTTTCTTTCTCAGTTAATCCTTCAAATTCTTCCCCCATCCCACCAGGAGCGGTGGACTGAGTGAGCAGCTTCATGGTGCTTAGTTGCCATATGGGGTTAAACCACATGACTGAGCAGTGAGTACAAGTTCTATCAAAGCGACATCTGATACAGTGGAATCATGTCTGACTGCTGCTCCTGCCACTTCTGAGCTCTTACTATTATATTTCTGTCTCGAGTGCGCAAATTACCTTGTCAAAGGAAACAACACCTGATGCAAATAATCTGTGATAATATAATCATATTGTTTTAAAGAAAATTCTTCTTTTCGGCATTATTCAGACATAAGAAAGGGAAGAAGCAATGATGTTTGGCATTATTTTTCCAAGAAGCTAACTTCTGCTTTGGCAGCAATGTTGTATCAGTTGTTAAGTACCCATTGTTGTACCCATTGTTAAGGATTTAATTTAGAAAGGCAGAAAATACCTGTTTTATTGGTGCCCTGATATCCTGCCTGGCTTTGTTTCCCTCTTGGCTTCATTTCTTGGTTATGCTTCGTGTTCTGCCTATGAACAGAACGACTTTCTTCATTACAAAATGAAAAGAGGGGGAAAAAAAAGGGGGGAGGGTGCCAGAAATTTAAAAAAAGACAAATTGCTTTAAAGTTTAAAGAGATTGAGACTTAGGCATATGGGAAAATGCCACACTACTATTTTCATTCATTCAGTTGTTCTGGAAGCCAGACATGTACAGATCTGCATAGTGTGCAGGAGAGAGGGATGGAGGGAGTACTGGAAGGACAGCCTATGGCTTCTGTGGCTTTCAGGGAACACCTAACAGGCAGATCTAACTTTCCATCTTCTCTAACAAGAAGCAATAACAAAAAAAACCTTTTTAAAGGCCTTGAGAATTAGAGTGCATCTTTTTTAACTGGGTCATGAGGAATGATAGGTATTTAAGATGTAGTTTAAAAATACAGGGGGTTTAGAAAGATTCTTATCGTTCTTGTTTACATTTCTCTTGGTGAAGATTTGTAAGTAAAAGGACTGGTGATATATGACAACATTCAGTTACTTTGAGTGGTTTAATATCTGTTTCAGAAACAGCAACAATGTACGTAGATGTTGCCTTCCCTCAATTTAGACAAAAAAATTGAGCAAGTGTGCCTTTTTGTGCAACTCAGTACTCCTCCAAGATTTCAAAATCTGTTTCTTGTATACTAAAAATGCTTCTAGGAAGTCACATTCATCAACATGTTGTATTGAAACTGCCTTTCAATTGCATGCTTTATATTCAGTATGACTAATTTTAAATTACTGTGGTTCTAGAGATATATTAACCTTGTTTATATATGCCATTATACAGTTTGTTTTCCTGTGTCATTGTTACTAGGTTTCATTACTCAGTTTCATTTCCATTTTCTTTGCTCATCAGTAAGGAAATAACTAAAGGTTTTAAGTAAATTACTAGCGCTGGTTCATTTACACATTTATCTGTAAACTCATGCACTTGTAATAGCAAATAGGTGACTAAGTGGCTTAGCTTTGTTATAGCATCATAGAACAATTTGGGCTGGAAGGGACCTTTAAAGGCCATCTAGTCCAACCACCATACATACACACTACCATCCACTTACAGGGATGGGTAAGTCTTGGACTCTCCTATGGAATTGGGTACACTAATGCAAGCACTGAAAATCAATGCTATCCACTATAGGCTTGGAACGAAATGTCATCCCACCCGAAGAAATAACATATGGGTATCTCCTGTAGATAATTTTTGATAGCCAGATTTACAATTCTGGAGATAAATAAAGAAATAAATCTTTTTTTCCTAAAGATATGTTATCTGAATAATCCTGGAATGGAGTAACAGTATCTGTGCAATAAAACCTACTTCTGATGGTGTCTGATTCAGAGCTGTTACCTTTTCCACAGCTGTAATCATAGTGCTCTCCCAGCTGGTGTTTAGTCCACAGTGTATCTAGAAGATTACATTTATGAAATGTAGATAACTGTCCTCCCTCTCCTGCTCCAGTCTGTTTCCTTTCAGTTTTCTTTTTTTTTTTCCTTTTTTTTTTTTTTAATCTAGGGTAAGTTTGAGTTGGTTAATTCTCAAAATTACTGTTGAAAACAACAGATTCATAACACCTGCACAGCAAAAGTCTGCTGTCCCTGCTGTCTGAAGACTTCAGGTGAAGTTCAGACTCTGGAAATCCTGCTGTCAGTGCTCTGGGTTTGATGAGTAACATGTATGTCTCATTTTATGGTCACTTTTAAATTAAGTAGAAATCTTGGATTCACTGGATGAGTTACATCTGAGGCTTTTGAGTTAAGATGTCCCATTTTTCCTAAAGCAAACAAATAAAAGTGCCTGTTTAGATCCATCCTGCTTGCAATAAACAAAGTAATGAAGGTTTCTAGGTTGGCTTCCTGAACTAGTATTATTGCTTTTAATTAACCCTTTACTTTTGTTTTGATTGTAGGATCCAGAACCATGTAAAAATAATTTGTTTTAATTATACCTTAATAGTAAATGATAGCATTAATAGAGATCTCCCATCTTTTCTGCACTGATCTGAGGCAAGTTGCAAGTCTGACTTAATTCAGCATAAATTAAATGCATTGTGTGACTACAGATCCCTGCTTTGTATAGTATTGTTGCAAGCAGGAATAGGGATATTAATAGAATCATAGAATGTTGTGAGTTGGAAGGGACCCACAAGGATCATCGAGTCCAACTCCTGTCCTAGCATAGGATAATCCCAAGATTCAGACCATGTGTCTGAGGGCATCGTCCAAATGCTATTTGAATATTGTCAGACTTGGTGCCATGAGCACCAGGGAGCCTGTTCCAGTGCTCCACCACCCTATTGTGGCAGTAACTAACATTCTGCTGCTCAGTAACCTCCTTTTTCCATGAAACACTGTTTGATATTGCCACTCAAGGTTAAAATAAAAGTCTTTGAAATCTCTGCCTCTGGCTTTGCTTTAGATGAGAAGTACATGTGTAGATCCCATATTTTAGCAGTCACTGTGGTAGGGAGAGTAGAAAGATACTACTGACATGAAGTGTGATGAAATACACTATAGCCTTACTATAGCCTTTCTTTTATACTATAATAGAGAAGCAAGCCTTCTCTTTTTTCTTTCGCCCCCACCCCCCTCTCCTTTCTTCTAAATTAATATCCCACTTGGAAAAAGCATTGCTTTCCATGCAGCCTGCTGAGCATAATTTTATAATGAGGTTTCACCACAGTGGGTATTACTATAATAGGCTATAAGACCTTTCTCCTACTCCCCTTACAACCCTTGCAGTCACTGACCTATATTTTCTGAAGTATCTGGGGACTGTCATTAGCCTCAGTTTTGGGGTGTCCTGTCTGAGGCTCCTTGAATAGACTTGATTTTTCAGAAGGCCAGTTCTTTTTGCTTATCTAATTAGGGCTTTCCTATTAAAGTAGCTAAGAAATTAAGAAATCAAAATTCAATGTCTTATTTTCTCTTCCTTCTGCCCCATTAATTTAGCTTTTATTCCCCATGTTCCTACTGCTAAGAATTCCCCTTTGTTGATAGGATCTTTTCTCTCTGTTCCTTCAAGGCAAGATCCTTTTTCGTCTGATTAGCAGGAAGTATTTTTGGTCAAGTACTGGATTTGAGTGTAGGAATTTAGGACTCAAATCCCAAAGACAGTATCTGTGTAAATTAGGTAAGTCAATCTATGCCTGTCTGGGCATCCCATCTGCAAAACAGTGATAGTGCTGCTTAGCTACAGAAGGATGTTGTGGGAATGAACTAATTTAATGTATGTGAATAGCTCGGTCATTGTGAGCAACCATGAAGTATGGTCCTTCAAATGTTAGAAGGTTTCTGGAATTTCCTTCCCAGCATAAACACAAACTCCTTTCTCTCTGTTTGATTTGTTTTCCATCTGCTTGAAGGGCACAGTAGAGGGGCTATGGATGGGAGTAATCTTGGGTTTTTGGTGAAGGAGATAAGGAGAGAACTGGAATGGATGCTTCTTGGTTTTATTGTATTACCTAAAACTGTAAGAACTTGTCACCAATAGCATGTTTCCTGCACACACACAGCGTTTTTCTGGCCCTGGTTCTCCAGTTGTGTACTGGAGAGAAAAGCATCAGGTATGCAGTCTATGATTTTGAATATTCAGGGTGAGTTTTTAATTATGTTTTAGAAAAAGCTGTCTTGAAGACTTTTACAAGTGTGGTAGCACTTTTTAATCAGTATTTTATATTGATATACCAGGTGGGAAAATTGAGAGAGAAAATCCAGGAGGTTAAACAAGAAAGGGAGCAGGAGCAGCACAAGCACACTGCCTATGTTTCTGAACTGAAAGCCAAGCTCCATGAGGAGAAAATGAAGGAACTTCAGAGTGTCAGAGAGCTACTGATCCGGCAGCATGAGCAGGAGGTAGCAAGAATGGTGAAGATCAAAGATGGTGAAATTCAGCGTTTGCAGTCAACAGTCAATGTCCTGCGGGACGGGGCAGCTGACAAAGTGAAGACGGCACTGCTGGGTGAAGCAAAGGAGGAGGCTCGCAAGGCGTTTGACAGTGAACGGATGAAGTTGCAACAGGAGATCTTGGAGCTCAAATCTGGCAAAAAGCAGCTTGAAGAAGCTTTGAACAACATTATGCAGGCAGATAAAATGAAGGCTGCTGACCTGCGCACGGCTTATCAGTCCCATCAGGATGAGATTAATAGAATAAAGCGGGAATCTGAGAGAGAGATCCGCAGGCTGGTAAGTTGATGAAGTAATGCATGCTTTTTTCAATTTATAATAGATATTAGTATATTGCTGTATGTACCCACAAATATCAAACCACTCTTTTGCAGTGACATCTTTAATCAGTGCTGGTTGTTACAGTAGGCCACTATTTCTGCTACTTTCTCCTCCTTACAGCCTAGATGAACCTTGGCTCCATGGCTAGCCTAACTCAGTCCAAAGCTTTATGTCCCACCAAGTAGAATATGAGTGAACTGAGACTTTCCAGGATTCATTTTCTCAACAGATCAAAGAAATGGGCTTACCCTTTCCAAATTGCTCAAGTACATTTCCTAACAAAGTCTCATTGATCAAAATAGTCAGGCATTGCAGAGGGCCACTGGGATGATCAGAGGGCTGGAGCACCTCTCCTATGAGGACAGGCTGAGAGAGTTGGGGCTGTTCAGCCTGGAGAAGAGGAGGCTCTGGGAAGACCTTCCAGTACCTGAAGGGGCCTACAAGAAGGCTGGGGAGGGACTTTTTACAAGGGCAGGGAGTGATAGAATGAGGGTTAATGGCTTCAAACTGGAAGAGGGTAAATTTAGATTAGATATCAGGAATAAAATCTTTGCTGTGAGGGGAGTGAGACACTGGAACAGGTTTCCCAGAGAAGCTGTGGATGCTCCTCCCTGGAAGTGTTCAAGGCCAGGTTGGATGAGGCTTTGAGCAACCTGGTCTAGTGGAAGGTGTCCCTGCTGATGGCAGAGGGGTTGGAACTGAATGATCTTTAAGGTCCCTTCCACCCCAAACCATTCTATGATGCTATGATTCTATGATTGCTCATTTGACAATAAAGAACACCTTTGTGAGATGGCAAAATTAACTTTACAGGGAGCCTTTATATTCCTCCAGCTTGTATTGGAGGAACCAATTGTGCTGAACCAAGACATCTTTGCTTCTTCTGCATCATTATCCAGGTCATTAGATTTTAAGCATTGTTACCCTTTTTAATTTTTAAAAATTTCTGTTTTCTCTATTGCAGTAGAAAAGTTAGGGCCTAGGAGAGCAGGCTTTTTTCATGCTTCATAAACCCTAGAACTTCAGCACAGATGGCAAACTATGCTGTTTGCATAAAATTGAAAACCAGGCAATATTTCCCAACAGCAGATGCCCCAAATATTTCAAATTATGCAGCTTTGTAAAATGTAAAGAATCTAAGATGGGCTGTTCACAGGAGTATGTTTAGAGTGTTCATCATCAAATGACACTTCTGTTTGGTACCATGATATTTTCCATGTATATGTATATATCTAATTGTTAATCTGTTTAAGCTAGCAGTAAAATAGCTATGCAAATAAAATCTAAAATTATAATAAACATAATATTGATCATATATCAAGAAGTACAGACTACAAATGGAATGAAACATCACTTTTCTTAAGAAAAATATTTTATCAGTTCGTGTTTACACAGGTATGTCCTCTTATTTCTTGTATTCCTTAGGGAAAATGATGATGAGGGCAAGCTACAAACAGGTAGTATCTGTTTAATGGTGGTGATTTTCTGTCTGAGATAATGAAAGCTTTTAATGCAGTTAATATTTATGCTTTAAATAAATTGGAGCTTGATCACGTCTCAGGGGTATCATTTCCTTGATTAATTAAAGACGACTGCAAAGATTGACAATATGAGGCTTTTGTAAGCATAGTTTCTTTCATATTTTGTTCCATATTATACATGTTGAATTTTAAGATCCTGACTATAAAGTACAGGTAATTTTAAAAAGTGTTAAAAAGGAGAGAGGGTTGCTATGTTGTGGCCTGTGTTTTTTCTAGAGAGCAGAGAAATTTAACCTTCTCAAACCCAAGAAATGGTGAGGTAAGCACCCCAAATTCTGTCATCCCAAATTACCCCATTAAACACATGCCATGTCTTTGGGTGATATTGTAAAGGAACCACTTCTCTTCCAAGAGTGGAGGCTTTCAGACGGCTGCAGTATGAAGGATTCATTCGGAGTTATAATTGGAGCCTTACTGTGCCTCTGTGCATATAAAAAGGTGACTGTATTTGGAGAAGGTGTAGATAACTCTCAGCCCCAGAGGAAGCCTGGTGTCAATCTCGTGGTCTTTCACTGGAAGTGTTCAAATTTTCCCCTCTGTCAGGGAAAGTACAGGGACAAAGTATCAGGAGCCTGATGTTGCCTTGTAGGGCCTTGACTCCTTTCATATGATGAATTTAAATTTTTTCATTAAATTGTATGGTTTGTTTTTCTGAGAGAGAAGTGTTTCTCCTAGGAATTGGTAGCAATTTAAGCAGTTTTTATCACATAGGGCACTCTAAATTTAGGTCGAGGTAAAAAATGCTGCAGAGTTGCTCGATGCTGCTCTCGTCCTCTGGGAGAGCAAGTGAATCTGATCATCAGGATATGTCCCTCCCTCCTCTCCCCCCCTATTTTAATTAGTACAAGGGGTGTTTGCCTTCAATTTCAGTTTAACTGTATCAGCTGCAGATTAGGGGTACTCGGTTGGTTTACTTCTTACCCTTGTGGGGTGAAATGGCAGGGATGTGGCAGGCAGTGTTATTAACATTAGCACAGTTCTGTAACTGAGCTTCAATTAATGTACTTTTTTGTGTGTGTTGTGTTTTATGGCACTGTTAAGAATTCAGCATCTTTTGGTATTAACAGACTTAAATGGGCTGGCCATACTGTAATTCAAATTCAGATAGAGTAATTCAGGATTCAGTGTCTGATTGTCTTGTCAGACTTGGCTGATTTATTTTGCATTTTAGATCACTCGTTAGTTTTGCAGATGTATTTCATGTAGATATTGCAGCTAAAAAAAATTAAAAAAAAAAAAAATCAGTATTTTTACTATTGATTTAATACCCAGGACTAATTTGAGTAAAATCTTGCTTTGTTTTGGCTTCCTGTCCAAAAAAACCCCAAATTTAAACTATAGTGTGAAAGGAAAAAAGAAAATCCATCATCTGTGAATGCATGGATACATTTACGTTGTGTGCATAAACAGCCATGCTTGTATTGTACAAATGTCAGTAATTATTATGATTAATCAATTTTGAGATTGTCTTCACAAAAAAAAAAAAAAAAATTTTTTTTTTCTAAATTGTAATGGTACTTTTTCATTCATTGAACTTCAGTATAAACAACCCAAAGCAGCTGAGGGCTGCATAGGAAAGCATGTACATACCTAAATAACTGTATAAACAGATTTCTGTTTTAATGGCATCCTTGTAAGCAGTATGTCTGATTTCCTTCTGATGTCTGGGCTGGCACAAGGGAAATTTAATACAAACTTTATTAATGTTGAAGAGAAGTTGAATTTATTAAGTTGTGTTTATGAAGTAGCTTAAAGAGAAGAACTGTACTATGAGGGTATTTAATGTTTTAATCTAAATATAAAAAAGTACCAAAAGAACAGTATATTTCAGCCAGTTTTTCTTGGACCTCAATTAAGCTTGCCATTTCACTGGCTTACTGGGTTTTAAAATCAGATTTAAAGCTAGTTTTCAGTAGTAAGTAAAGTTTTTGCCTGAAATTGCTGAAATAGCATGTTCAAATTGTTGGTGAGTTTTGGCAACAGACCGACCTTATTCTGTTATCAGCACAGCTGTGAAGGAGGGCATGAATATTAAGTACATAAAATTATTTAGAGGTTACATTCATTCTGAGAATACCTGGACACTTTTTAAGAAGACCCTTACTTTGCAAGGCACGTTTCTCTAGATATTCTTTTTGCAGTGATAAGAACAATGCTTGTCATAGAAAATACATGCAAAAACTCAGCCATTAAAAGTGTACTGAATTATGTCATCACTGGTTTATTATTAATTACTTTATTATTATTTATTTCATTATTTATTTTTTTTTCTTGAATAAGAAGGAAACACTGTTTATCTTGTCAGACACTGTTTATAGAAATGTAATATTTAAACATTGGAATAAACAGATGACATTGGATCCTGTATTTTGTGGAGTAGGATTTTAGTAAACATTATTTTCTCTATTGGAAATGTCTTTAATATCAAAGCTTTCACCTATTTTACAGATAAATACCATTTGACGTTGTTAAATTCTTTGCATATATAGTCTCCTAAACAGCTTGGATTAAAATGACTGACTTATATTGAAATAAGTCTTCTATTTGAAAGACTTATTTCCCTTTAATATAAAATACTCCCAGTTTTCTTAACCACAAAATCAATGCGAAAGATTCCACCGATCTTATTAGATGCACAATCAGATCCATATTTAGGAGGGCACACAGTACACTAGATGAATTAAATTTGCTTCTTTCAATTTCATTCTCAAATAACCTCATAAAAATTGTCTAAAGAGTAATGTGATATTACTGCAAATTCATACTTGCAAGGAAAAAAATACTTTTGCTGTCAGTAGAATCAAAGGAAAATAAATTATTTTCAGGAGTGATTTTTGTAAGTTCCTGATCAGCCATGATTTGTGAAGATAGGTGCACTATTTAAGTGTCCGTAGTCTCCTTAGTCCAAATTATCTAGCTGCATAAATTGAAAACTCATTCCAATGTGGAACCCTTCTTCTGTTTGATGTTTGAGAAATCTATGTAGTACAGTACCCGGAAGAATATAATTCAAACTAACATATTAAACAGTTTTTAAAGGTAAAAATCAAGGCAATTTCACTGAAAACAATGTTCAAGGGAAAAACTGTCTTATGGAATAAGTTTATGTACGATTTATATAGTGACTTTTTATAGTATCTTTTCAGTTTTGTGTCTGTCTATACCACCGTTATAGACAGACATATAACACTATAACACTTAAATAAATCTTATTATTTAAGCAGAGGCTTCTGAAAGACTGAGGGTAACATATTTTCAGATTTAAGAATTAGATTGTTCCAGTTCAGGGCAAGACCAAATTTCAACTGAAGTCCTTCACAAATGAGCATTTTCTAACCCTTCTCAGCTCTTAATGAGTTTGTCTGCCTGTGAGTCCTTAGTGTATTACTTAGCACTGATGTTCCATATGTGAACTGG